AATTAACAAACAGAGAAATAGATATAAGAAATGGAGAAAAAAAAAATGAATACACTAGAAGTTCAACTCACAGATGCAGAAGATAGAGCAAGAAGAAGAAAATTGAAAATAAGGGGTATTTCAGAAAAAGAGGATACAGAAAAAAATCAGACCCTATTTAATGGCTCTTTTCAAGTCAATGCAGGTTCAAAAGGCACATGGAGAAGAAATAATAGAAAGAGTCCACAAGTCCACAGGCTCCCCAAACCTAGCTATGTCCCTCAAGAAATATCACGTGACATCATCATAAGATTTTATTCATTTTACATAAAACAAAAAATCTTACACGCTGCAAGAAATGTTCATCCTGAGGAAGGAAAATTCCAAAATCTTTACTCTCTCCACCAAAACCAGACAAAGGAGAAGAGAATTTAAATCAATATTGGACGTTCTCAGAGTCAAGAATGTAAAGTATTGATAGGGATTCCCTTTAAAATTGATTTTTTTTGTATGATGGAAGAAATCTTATATTTAATTCGGCTAGGCAAGCTCAGGACTGGCTGAATAAATCTTTAACAAAGAAGCAAGCTCTAGCAATTTACTAGAAGTCGCAATGAGGCAGTCTTGATTTGAGATTGAGAGGAGGAAGGGAGATGGTAAGGATTAAGGATAAGGAGTGAGGGAACAGAAATATATATATTTTTTAAATTTCTGTACCCCAAATATGCCCAGTTTTCTATTCAAATCCTGGAAAATCGATGTATAGAAAAAAAGAGGAAATCGGTTTAGGAAAAATGGCATATATGACACAATATTGAGTTTCGCTGTTATAAATCAAAAGCGATTTTAAAAAAAAATACTGATACATTATTAACAATTTATGCACATATATAATTTATTAAGATTTTATTAAGATTCACAAAATTGAGGGTTAAAACATTTTTCATCAACACAAAAATTAGCATAATATAGTTAATAATAAAGTTTTGGATGCTATAGGTTAGACACTACAATAGAAATATAGTTTATTTGATTATTAGTAGAGGGAAGTGAATAGTTAAAGTGTATAAGAAGATTGGAGTAGTAGATATAGATGTTTGGAGAGTTTTTTGATGAGCACTAGATTAAATGAAAACTTGTAAGAGATAACACTAGATATGATTTTGTACATAGGATACTAATCTTTTTCCATCATTATTCCTTATAATCCTTAGAATATCTTGACATAGTTTGCTGTAAATAGAAATGGCATATGATCAAATGTAATCAATTATATATTTATTAGCAGTAAAAGGCCAATTTTTGTTTTAGATACAACTCAGAGAAAGTCTCTGTTGGCCCTCTCTTTTTTTTTAAATGCTATATTGTTTTCTATAATTACAGGCCTGAAGGGACACTTTTTTGGGAAGAGATAAGGGTTAGACTTAATCTCTTCATCATTCCATTTTTGGGATTGGGTTTGGGCTGTGGCCTGATTTGAGTTGTGGGGTTTATGTGTAGAGAATAGGTGGTTTTCCAGACCTTCTTATGTTTTTGTTGTGTGTTATGGGTTTATTGTATGTTATGTCTGCACAACCAGGTGAGTGGTCTCCTTTCAAGTGATAACTAGGCTTAGCTATATCTTTACAAGAATCTACTGGGAAATTTAAATTATATGACATTTGTAGAACATTAAATCCCCATGGAAAGGAATTGACTTATTATTCACACAGTCATCAATCTTTTTCTAGACTGGATATGATCATGTCCTTTGGTGATACACCGAGGAAATGTAAAGGAATAAAAATAAATAGGGTGACTATATCAGATCAAAATCCAGTAAGCATTGAAATGGAAATGGATTTCATTCTTAAAACACATTGTTGAATGACAATAAATCATTAAATAAAATAATTTTGAACTCTAATTTATACTTTGAAGATAATTTAAATGATGAGGTAAGCATGGGGAATGTTTGGGCAGCATATAAATGTGTAATCGTGGAATGTTTAATTAAAATAGAGGCTTAAAATAAGAAATCGAATTACCAATCCCTGGCAGATCTTTACTTGAAACTTGATGATCTAGAGAAAAATCAATCCTAAGGAGCAAATGATCCTCTCCATATATGGACCAAATCAAGTGTAAAATTAGAGAGTTTATGTTGGATAGAGCAAATAAAATTTTAACCAAATGGAAAGAGAAGTGGTTCTACCTAGGAAACCGAGCAGATCCATTATCTAATCAACTTAAAAATTCTAATCTTAGGGAGAGAATCTTCGAAATATCAACAGAAAACAAAAATTGTAGGTCACCCGATCAAATTGCCTCCTAATTCAAAGAGTATTATTCCTCATTATATAATAAGAGACTTTTTAAAAAAATGAATCGCAAATGTTTGATTTTTAAAAAAAATTCAAATATACAGGCATTGGATATTAAACATAGAGAAAAGAAAAGACGTCATTCAAGTTATCAATTAATTAAAAAAGAATAAATCTCCAGGCCCTGATGGCTTTTCTAATTATTTCTATGAAAAAAAGTCTCATGTAATATCTTCTAACTTAACAAATGTATTTAATGACATTTTGAAAAATAAACCATTTCTTAGATAAATGTTGCAAGCGATCATTGTTCCAATACCTAAACAAGGGAAAGATATAAAATTATCAAATTATAGACCTATTTCTTTAATTAATAGTGATATTAAAAATTTCTCTGCAATCTTAGCAGACAGAATCAAAAAGATAATAGCACTTATACTTCATAAAAATCAAGTGGGTTTTGTTAGTGGTCGACAAACATATGGCAACACAAGAAAAATTATAAGTATAATAGACTTTGCCTTAAATAATAAAATGTATTTGGCCACTCTCTCTGGATGCAAAAGAGGCATTTGATCGGGTAGGCTGGTTATTTTTGGAGGCAGTACTTAAAAGATTTAATTTTGGTGAAAACATAAAAAAAACATTATGGCAATGTATTCCAATCCGACAGCTAAGATAGTGGGACAAGGCTTCTCCTCCCAGTGGTTCAGAGTTAGGAACGGTCCTAGACAGGGCTGTCCTCTGGCTCCTCTTCTTTATATCATCACTCTAGAATTACTGGCAGCAAGAATTAGAGATAATAAAAAAATAATAGGAATCTCTATTAGTAATACAGAAAATAAGACCAGCCTTTACGCAGATGATATTCTAATGACTTTAACGGATCCTGAAATCTCGATCGAAAATCTATTAAAAGTGATTAAAATATATAGGGAACATTCTAATTGTAAACTCAATATTAATAAATCACAAGCGATGTCAGTAGAAATAATTGAAAATAGAGCTACAGGACTTGGCCATAAATTTCTATTCATGTGAAAGGACAAATTTATTGATTACTTAGGGATTAAAATAGCAAAGGATCCCCTATTATTAATCATACTAAATTATAAAGATCTCTTGAATGACCTATCTAAGAAATTGGGAGAATGGAAAAAAACTGCCCATATCATGGATGGGTAAACTCAATGTCATTAAATCATATATCCTACCTAGATGGCTTTATAACATGAGACTAATTCCTGTTCAACTTCCATCCTATATTTGTGTTCAATTTCAAACAGCCGTAGAAAAATGAATTTGGTTAGATAAGAAACCAAGAATTTAAAAAAAATCTTATATGGAAATAAGTCCAATGGGGGATGGGCTTTCACAATGTGATTTTATATAGTCAAATATATGCAATGTTGCATTTACATGCTATCCACTCATATTCCTCTAGATCTGAAGATTGGTTTATAATTGAACAAAACATATTGAATATCAAGAACTATATTAATATCTTATATCGAAATTGAAGAATAGTATCGGCTTAAAATATAAGATAATAACACAAACTGCTAAAGAAATATTAGAATATAACATCCCAGTTATGAACAATATGATGTGGTATAACAATAACAAGTGAAAGATAAAAGATTTTTTAGAAGGTGCTCAATATAAGACATACGGACAATTAATAACAGAATATAACATCCCAAGGAAACAATACTACAATTTGATCCGTATTAAAAACTATATATCTAGGCATCTTCTAACTATCTTGAATCCAAAAGCTATGGAATCACTAGAGAATCGTTTTGCTACTCATTCAAATAAAAATATAAAGTTTTTCAAATAATTTCAGATATTTTAAAGATAAAAATCTCGCTATTCCCAGAAAAAGCCATTTTACACTTAAATCTAGATAATATTAGCAAACATAGTCAATTTTTTGACTATTCAGATTTTTATGGCCATGAAGATAGTTATATCTAGAATGTGGAGGGAAAAAACAAGAAATCCCTCCAGGTACGATGGAAAAAGGCTACTTTTCGGCTTTTCAAAGAAATGGTACATACATGAAAATATGGGAATCTTGGATGAGCTCATACCCTGATAGATATAAAGCCTAATTAGTTTTTTAAGACTTATGGTATAGAGTGAGGGGAAACACAACCGGTTGCGCAAACTGTAACGGAGCTCCTTGTACTCCGACCGAGTACCCTCCATTGACGGATGCTCCTAGCGCTTCCTGAGGACTCCAAGCGCTGCAGCAGACACCACAACCACCGCAACCGCCGTATCTGGACTGGAGTCTCGCCGTCTTCCTTCCACCCTGGATCAGCTTCTGTCCTCCAGGACTGTGTGGGAAAGAACTCTTCCTTCCACCCTGTATGAACCTCCAGCATGCAGGACTGTGTGGGGAAGACCCCTCCTCCAAGGAGAGCGTGTCAGGAACAAGCTCTTAAAAGAGCTAAGTGACTCAAGCTCAGGGGAGCATGCAGAGCATAGCAATCCCCAGTGTGATTATAACAGCTCCCTTCAATAACGAGACAAGGCTACATTTAGAGGGATCAAGAAGAACTGTCAAAACTTTTATTCCCTTGGGACCAGCCAATACAGTCACCACAATAACATTGTTGTGAAACCTCAATAAAATCACAAACAGTCAAACCATATCAAGAAACACACAGTGACTTATCACAACACAATGGCACATTTTTAAAGGGGTGGGGGGAGACAATATTTAACAGTAAATATCTCACCTGCCTGCAGAATTAGCAATATGCAAATCTACCCGAATATGCAAATGAACCAGTCTTGCAATTCAGGTAGTGCATATTGCTGTTGCTACCAACAGAGGGCACTAGACCAGCTCCATAGCCAAACCCACCTAGTTGGTAGCAAACCTCAGCAGTACAGGAGAGAAGGCAATACATTTCACAGTACACACACACACACACTATAAACAATTACATTACACACACCCTGCACCTATAATGGGTACAGGGTGACTAAAACATAAGATAAATAAAGCAGCCTACATAAATAGTCTGTCTGAAGGTAGAATAGGGGCTTTAAAGGCAAATACATCAAAGAGTCATAGTCACAGGGGAGGAGGCTGGCAAGCAGGCCTCTCCAGTACCAAGTGGCGAACGGCACTTCGTCACACAAACCATGTCCTATTGTCTTTTAATGTTATAATCGTATATTTGGAACATAAATTAAGATTAAATCCTGATAATCTTTAGATTGCTAAATATTTTTTATGCTCTAACTGTTGAAAGCCTGTTTTTGTGAGGTTGGAGAAACTGATAAAAATTTCAAATGAAACAAATTTGTATATCCAACTATGTATGTGAATAAAAACAAATTAAAAAAATAAAGCAATGCAGTAAAGTAAGGTGCGGCTAATATAAAACAGGAATAACATTTCACAATGGCTTTGTTCCCAGTGTAAAGAACTGTCTCCATTCCTGAATTAGCAGGGGGCACCATGCAGTATGAAGAAGATATTTATTCAATATAAGGAATTCAAGAAAATGTTCCTAAATCAATTACAATTTACATATTTCAATGTTCATGTCACTCATTAGCTAATGTCCCTCTCTCTCCCCCTTGGTCACTGGTGAGTCTCCTAACTCTCTTTGTAGCTTTGCCAAGCAGAGCGGACTGCGGTACAGGAGCTTCAGTTTCCTGTATCCAGCGGGACTGACAGGAAGTGAGCACTTCCTTTAAGTCCTGCCGGGAATAGGAAGCAGAACCTCCTGCTGGACACTCCAATCTAGCGCCCCGCTGGCCGGTGCGCCCGAGGGCAGTCGCTTGTGCCGCATAATGGACGCACCGGCCCTGCTGGTGTCAGTGGTGTCACCCCCCCCTGTGATGCCACTGTGTGTGGGTCCAGCCAGGAGTTATGCGTCAAGCTGCTATCTTAGTATCCTTCTTTTTAATAGATTGTATACCTTTTTCCCCAATAAAAAATATATTTTTTGTTCAACTGACAGCACCAGATATGCCATTTTTACTAAATAACCAAGCTGCACAAATGCTCCCTGTTGTGAACACTTGAAACCAATCATTGCACTGATGTATTTAATCTGCTCTTCCTTGAGACATAATAAACACAACTAAATATGATAAAGGGGATTATCCAACCTGATCATATACTCCTTTGTTGCATTTTACACAAGCTATGTATTTTAAGAACTGCAGGTTCTGATTTATAGTTTTATATCCATTAGGAAAGAAATAGCCAATGGTCATTTAAATCATCCAGAAACATTAATCTTTTTGAGCGATCATTTTGCTCTATTTGTTGAACTACATCAAGCTGATCAATTGTAAGTAAAATTACAAGGAAATCCTATAACTTGCACTTGTGGTTTATCTTTTGTACTGAATCAATCGAGTTTTGCAATAGTAAGCAAGAGTTATGTAAAGTGCATTTTGTTTGGAAAATTTACCACCAAAACAGTTAAAATAATCTTGTGTGTTGTGTGTTATTGAAACAACCTTTATTGTAAGAAACCACTCTGCAGACAGAAATGTTAACGGTTTACATGACCTTAACACAATAACAACATGTAGTCAAAACTCTGACAATTACTGTGCTTTCTAAAATAAATACCTTTTCTCAATGATTACAGTTCACACTTACTGAAATAGTGGGGTGCAATTGCAGGGTATATGGATGCTGCAATTTAGGAAGCCAGCAGCTTGCTGTCCTATAATTTGGGATTGCTATCAGACACAAATTTGACATCGTTTTCCTTTACATTTCCCATTCAGAATCGTTATGATGAGATAGAAAAATGGAAAACAATAATGGTTATCCAGTGCATGAAAGAAAGACCATTAGCTTTTGTAAAATTACCTGTGGAGAAAATCTTTATATCTAATCATCAATATATGACTTGTAATCCACATTTTTCCCTATGCTTTAAAATGTATTTCATCATATAGAACACATAATACAATACCTAACGTGACATTCATGTTGAAGTAAACCTTTTATATCTGAAATGTTATTAGTGGAAAGTGCTAGCAATGAAGGTTTAAAAGTAGAGGTTTGCTGAACAGTAATGTTGGACCTCTTAGTGTTAAGTGAATGTTAGTATTATGTTATTGGTGTTTAGATGTACAAATTTGGCCCTTACTATTATTAAGACCACAGCAGACCTTATTATTTCAGAGATTTGTGTCAGTAAAAGAAATGGCCCAAAGTCAACTGCCATTTCGAAAATGGACTAATATGATCCTTTTTTTTTGCAATACAAACAGTGTATTTTAAGTTGTTAGAAGCATAATGTTATAGAGACATATTTTGCAAACTTCCTACTTTGCTGCAGTTTAAATCAAATTCTGTCTAGATAGCTCATGAGCTAACAATCTAAAGTTGGTGAAGTTGGGACTTGAGAAAAGATAAAGCAGGGGAAAATAATGGACAGGGAGCCTTAGAGCCTTTGTGCTGTGACTGAGGAGGAAATTAGTGAAGATGCAAAACACCTGGGAAGGCATGCTATAAATGAAGTGGGGATTATTGCATGCAGTGGATATGGTGTATGAAGCCTCTGGATGGAATAAAATAAGAGAGAACAGTAAGTTGAAAGTATGTATCGCTGGAGATAGGGTAAGAACAAAGGAAGAGAGAGGAAAAGCAAACATGTGTGGTCTATATAAGTCTAAAATCAAAAGGTTGTTTGCCAAATAGTATTTCTTTTTTACTTTTTAACAGCCTGGGGGACTGTCTGACAGCTCAGACAGTCCCCCTGCTGGCTCTTTTAGAGTGGTGACATGGCCTTGGGGTTCCTAAATTGGAGAGGGGGGACTGTCTTTTTTTTCCCCTTTTTTATTTTTATTTTTCTTATCTTTTTTGTTTATTTTAACTCGTAACACATCCAAATACAAATACAATTGCCTTTTATGGATGAAACTAATACCTGTTTTCCAATTACAGATAGAAAACCTAGTCTACTTTGGATCTTTGATATTTTGTACGATAAAGGAATATGTTGGCTGTTGATCTATATAAGTTAGTGATCTTATGTAAAAGTGTTGAACATGATAATATCAAGTTTTTTTCCCCATAATTATAATATTCATTCATTTTTGGATACATATAAAAGGTATATATACATTCATATTTATACTTATAACTAGACAGGTTTATACATTTTTACTTATTGTGATTAATACATAGGGATTTCTCTCTTTATTTTTCTGGTTACTCTATATAAACAATTGGTGTTAACTTGATGTTGAAGTGCTCAATGCTTATATAGTGATATCTGATGTTTTTGTGTTGTTTTAAGTTCAATAAGTTTAATATGTTCTGTATAAATGATTGGTCTTGTAAACGAGATGTGCTCGCATTGGTTAGTGCACATTTGATACAGAGGACTTGTTCGGTCCATTATGCCGGAAGTGCCGTCACCCGGAAGTAATGAATGCGTTCTAAGGTGGAGCGCACGCTAACATCTGTGACCAATTAACCCCATTTCCTGGCAGATATAAAAGAAACTCTCGGCCGGATTGGAGTTTCACATCCCTGTAGTCCAGAAGAGGACAAAACACGTTGGAGTTGTTTATTTTAAACTTTTATTCTTTTTATTTTATTTTATCCGTGTTGGTGCTGATTTTCCAGCCTTTCCTGTGATTTTATTGGCTGACACGCGTGGATACCACATTGGTGTGGAGACATGCTGTCTTTGCTTTGAAACATTGTGAGTGCAATACATATAATAAATTGTTACATTTTTATACAATCTACACTATTTCTTTTTTCCTTCTATTTGAATGGGCAAGAAGATCTACTATTTTCTATCCAGAATTGCATCGCTGGAGGCTTTCCATACTTCACTAGTTCCCTAACATTTAGGGAGACATGCCTGAATTCATCTTAAATTTGTGAGTTCTCTACCACCCCACCCCATATATATATATATATATATATATAAAAATATATATATATATAAATATATATATATATATATATATATATATATATATAAAAAAAAATAAATATATATATATATATATATATATATATATATATATATATATATATATATGTGTGTGTGTGTGTGTGTGTTAATTGTATTACACTATTTTTATATTTCTCCCTATAGATATATATCTAAGGTAGAACTTATCTACGGTACACACTTTGTATTCATTTTTATTATCACTTTGTGGTGATTAACACAGTCTTTTCCTTGTTTTTTTTCTTTTCTTTTCTTTTTTTACTATATTCATTACTACGACTAATGCTAATTGCAATGGTAATGGGGGTGATGCTAATAATGACAGAGGGTGACCTGCTTATGGCACAAGTATTAGATGATATTACAACTGTCTCCAATTGAAACGCAGATAGAGTTGGACAACCTCGAGAAGATAATGCTATAGAGTGGACTAGCTGGACAAAATAGTGGACTGCTTCCTGTCCTATCCAGCAGTATTGGGGTAAAGTGCAATATCACCACCAAATTCATCACCACCAAGAACAGACACTAGAACACAACTTTGCCTCTTCAGAAAAGGTTGTTTCTGATTGCACAGATAAACTCATTCACTTATTCTGGGGGCTACAAGAACAGGGGGTAACAATCGGAATGGCAACAAGTACACGTTTTATCAATCTGCTGCTTTGAACATAAAACCACAGAAGGTATAATGCAAGCACTAATGCAAGAACTAGCTGCAGTAGGGAACAGTCATTTAGTTCTCTCCAATCATGCCTGCAATAATAAATATACTAATGAATGAGCACCAAGCATTAGAGCAATTTGTGCATTAGAATGACTTGTATGGCAGTTTGAACGAGCTGCACTGTCAGTGGCAGCTGAGCGTCGGGTGGGGGCCCTAAAAACAATGAGGAGGGGGACCTATTGTCCTCCCCCAGCCCCCACCCCTGAGTGGTGGGTGGGGGCCATAAACAACAATAAGGGGGGGACCTATTGTCCTCCCCACCGGCCACCACCCCTGAGCAGCGGGTGGGGGCCCTAAATGAAATTGTCCCCCCCCCATGGTGACTAGGGGTCCCCAAAACACCTAGTCACCTCCCCCCATCCAAAACAAACATTATTAAACTCCTACCTACCCCCCTCACCCTAAAATAGTGAGGTAGGAATAAAAGAAATA